CTTTTCTTTTTTTTTATTCAAAGGGAAAGATGTCAAACATCCAAATCTCCCTTAACAACGCCCATTATTAAATCAAAACCGTATTTAACCACTTCCCATTCAATTCAATATCCTGGATATGCCAGTGAAAGTACCTTCTTATAAAACTATTATAAAATCACATCATATAATATAATATTATCACGACTATTAAACACATTTTAATGATTTTTAGTGGACCAAATCAGTACATTTACACTTGATAAAATCCTATACAACGTGTAAGAACCCATAGGCTTTAATACTTATATTTTACGGAGGGTTTTGAAAATAATATATCTCAATTTATTGACCGTCCGTAACAACACATATATTTTTATATATTATGTTGTACAGATATCTATAATTTTCGTTAAGGTCGTGTATCTTGTTACGCCAATTTTATACTGCGAACCTACAAACTTTATTCTACACGGCCAGACCCATGTGTTCGTAACGCTTAGATACGAGTCAATTGAAGAGATAATAATATTATTACATTTTATATTGGAAAAAAAAATAACAACGAAAAACAACAAACGATATGTTATTTTTTCTAACATCTTATATTATAATAGATATTTCGGTGCGACCTAACCTAACTGCATTATATGGAAATTGATTTTAGATTCTTAGTGTACCAGGAGAATGCATATTGGTTTTATGCAATATGTGTGCTTCTTTTTTTATCCATGTAGTTTTTATAATAATTGGGAATGACTAGAAAAGACGTAGAAAATACGGAAAAGTTTACGGTACAGGTTTCATTGTTTTTGTTGTAAATCGGTTAAAAATAATCGTAAACCTGAAAGTTGCGTGGAATATTTAATATTTTTCTAAGCCTTTTTCTAGTCGTCGTAAAATGTTCAAATTGATTTTTGAGCTATTTTTGGCATTTGATATTTTCGGGTTCGTTTGGTTTTCATTTAGTAGGCATTTGGTACGTGGACAAAATTGTTTAGCCGAAAAGAAATGATTGAAAAGTTAATATGAGTTTCAATATAAATTATACTGAGTGGTGAAAAAAATTGAGTACAATGTAATAATTTTTTTTTTTTTTTATAAACGCCGGAATGCAAATTTTAATGAAAACCATAACTATTTTAATATTTTTGTGTGATAACTAATTACAATGTTCCCTTTCAATCTCCAACCATAAGCACGTGACTACCTCGTTTATACTTTAATCCAGGCCGTAAATAATGACTTTTTAAGTTTATAAAAAATTTGCCAAAATGAATTAATTATTAGTATTCAAGTTTTTCATTGTTATTGTTATTTTATCTTATAAAATTACAAATTTTACGAAATATTAAAGTGGCAATACCATCGAAAGCAATATATTTATATATTTTCAGCATGTGAATACTGTGAATAAACATGTGAAAAATCACAATCAAGTCATTTGTTAAATTTTACATCATACATTAATTTTGTGAGAAATGTAATGATGGATAGATTGATGACACTGAAATATGTCTATCTTCTTTTTAATGACACGTAATAATAACTATGTTATGAGACGAGATAAAAAATTCGTTTGTGCAAAAACGCATAAGTTTATAGTACATTATTCAGGTTTTTTATGTCTCCTGAAAATTTGTATAATTTGACTTAGTTATAATATATAAATAAACATAGTGTACCCTTTTCTACAAACGCAGTCAAATTAAATTTAAGTAGGTACCTATCTAAATTATTATAGGCATTTAAACCATTTGTGTAACCTAGTTTACTTTAGATTCTGTTTAAATTAAATATTTGATCTATTAAATTAGTTAGCACATTTGCTTATTGTAATGCCTATTTGCAAATTGTAAATAATATATTTCTATAATTTTTCATATTAAATTATGAAAAGAAATTTACTAGGTAAAATGAAATAGTTTTTATGATTGTAAAATAAATTTTGTTCAATATAAAAAAAATATTTATTTAATATAATAGCTAAATAATTTCCCATTTTCTCAATATTTCCAGGCTTCCAGAGAAACATAATATACTACAAAATAATAACTAATAAGAGGATAATTAATTTGCAAATTATTGGTAGTAAATATTATATTGTCTTATTAATAATATCGTACTTATATTATTTAAATAATCACAATTTTTATTACTACATGAAATGCTCCAGAAATAATATTGAAAATTATTTAAATAGTAAAATTAATTGACGTAAGTGTAAATTTAATAATTTTTAAATATTTTTGAACTATATATTATTGGTATATGACAGAAATGTATTTATTATATAAGTACTTAATATTTAAATTCGTAATGGAACAAATTTTATTTTATTTTTAAACTACACATGAATGACCAAAAAACTGAAATTAAAAATTATATAAATTAGGCTCAATTAATTTAAATAGCCACGTTGTACATAATTTATATTTTATCAATATTGAAGTGATTTGGATGATAATCTAATTGAATAAGTTGCAGGTTTTAAATGCTGAATCTGAAACAAAATATAAAAAAACAATTTACAATTTTTTCTTCTCCCGTATCAAATTACAATATAAATACATATAATAAGGAGAGAATCAGATACAAAATTACTGAGATAGGTACCTAGTGCGTATAAATATATTTTATGTTTTTAATATGTACCTAACATGAAAGATACCATTTTGAAATAAATAATAATGTGACTAGAAAATGATTATAGCGTATACAATTATATCATATAATCATATATGGTAATAATTTGCACGATGAGTGGGCCACTGTTGTAGGTGAGAAGTTGAAAAGGTAGGATACAGAGTGTAATTTAATTTATACCTGCACGCAACGATAAGCTATTGCTAACGAAAAACAATTTGGATAGACGTTTTTTTTATACGTGTACAATGTGCATATCTTCTTGTGTTTTAACTTCTAATGTAATGTTAAAGTCACTAGACGCTACCTTTGACCAGTATCCCTGCAATGGCCACTCATTTTATTTTATTCGTTAATAGTGTAATTTTGTATAATGCATTTGTGGTTTAGTTTTGAATTTGTTTTCAATAACCTTATAGATAGATTAAACGTCAGAATGACCAAAAACTTGTTGACAAAAACCATTTTATTGCTCGAATAGAAAAAAAAAAGGTACTTTTTCCAGGTAGGTGCCCAGTGTCATACTATAAACTATCGTTGTCGTATTGTTATAGTCTACAGTTGATTAATATGATTGCCATAAAGATTTTACGGTTTTTTTTTTTTTTTTTTCTGTATTGATTGTATTTACACGGTAACCACCACTACCGTCAAACTTATAAAAGGCGCAAATTATTATTTTGATTCGGCGGTTTATGTACCGGGTCCGGATAGGTACCCACCCTTTTTATAGCGTAGATGGATGGGAACGTTGGCCGTTTGAAGCGTATAATATTATATCAATACTCAAATAACCACGATACTGTAATCGACAAAAATAATACGCTTCGTCCGTAAGAACCATAAATACTCGTATATTATTATATTATTGTGTGGTTTACCGACCGGGAATCCGAGAATAAGTAGGTACATAAGTATACGACGAACGGGAGAAATAAATATAGGTATACCAGTATACCATTAAGTATGGATATTCATCCCACGTCGACGTATCTATTATCATTCTCGGTGTCAAGTTAAAACCTTTTATTTTCTCTTTAATGAGTTTCGTTCCCTTCCATCTTGGAAATGATTTAATAAAATAGGTCGGCTGAAAGAACGGTTTATACGTAGTACGTACATAATATAATATACAGGATTAACTTATCACCAACCTGTAATTTCCTCTAAAAATGTTAAGTGCATTCATTTTGTTTTTTATTTTTGACAATAATTATTATAGAACGTTTATAATTTATTCAACAATATTTTCACTTTAAGATTCTGAGTGAAGCGAAGAAGCGTATGGTTTTACAAATATGTTTACTTTTTTTTCTGTGGACAACTTTCTCACCAGAAATTTCGCTCTAATTTATAATGATGGTAAAGTTTCTAAAAGGAAATCTGACTGGGTGGGTTATTTGAGAGACTATTTTTCGATTTTCTCACTAGTTTTCCAAATAAAAGTGAAATCCAGGAAAAACGGTAAATAGGTAAAATATTAAACAAATAGTTTAAAAAGAAAATATATGCCTATGTAATTATTTTTCTATAAAATATATGGATATATATTATTAACAAAACAACTACACTGTCAACTGAACTCCGCTCAGAATCGGTTTTATCGTTAGCAATGATTAATCTTTGCTAACAGATATACATTAAATTACCTATATCAGTGACTGCTCCCGTCCCCATTATCCTAGGATATCTTTTTGTATTTGAAATTAGAATACACTTTGGATTTCAAATTCACTTAAAATCCTTCGTGAAAATCGCTTATTCATGAAAAGTTGATCACTTTGAATATAATATGTAAATATTAAGTAATATAATATGTATTTATGTTATATATTTATATATAAACATTCAATGCAAACACAAGTTATGGAAATCAAAAGCTAATATTTCATTTTTTCCTTACTCGCCCTAACATAATTTTTCGAGAAAAGATCGTCTGCGAGTGAAACTGTTTTGAGAGGAACGAATAACCGATTGGTCCACATTGTAAAATGTTTACCTAATGCCTACTTATCAAAAAAAAAAAAAAAAAAAAAAAAAAAAAAAAAAAAAAAAAACGTGTGGTACTAATTTTAAATAATTCCGGCAGTTTTTTAGTTATTTATAACCAATGCTGTAACTAGGAGGGGGGATTTAGCAATAAATTACGCTTATTTATTTTAAAAAGGATTTTTTTAATTTTATTGCAGTGTAGAGTGGCTGGCAAAATTTCTATATTTATCTATGAAAATTTCCATGCCGATAACAATATTTAAATTCAATTCCTTTCACAATAATAATATACTTAAAATTAAAAACTATACGCCGAACAAATTGATTAAAACGATACATTTTTAATACTCTACGACTACCACGTTTACCGATTTACTTTCACGATGATCAAATGGCCAACAGAATTGAAGCTTAACGAGCTGGTTTGCTCTCCGAACAAATCAGAGAACAATCCGCGTTGCCATGACAAAGAAGATGAGACCAGAAGTCCAGTGCAGTGCAGAAAAATAAGCACGTGCTCCGCAAATCAACAGGGCAGCTGCAGCTGTGGTGAAAACATAACGGATGAAAATTCGAGCGAGAGCAAGCCACACGATAAGATCCCTTACACGAGCAGGCATCATAAAAAGGATCCCGGTACGAGCGATCAACGCGGAAGGACACCACCACACATGAGCGGGCCGCGTGAGAACGGTGCCCTTACGAGCCAGACGAATCCGCGGCGCTCCGCAGTCAATCCAGTTTATCGAATCCACGAAGAAGGTCTGCAGTCACGACACAGCAGCAGACTGGGGCCGAACGCGGGTGAACGACGGCCAAACCGCGGCCACAGACAGTCGGAAAATGCAGTGCCGGGACCCAGTAATGGTGGCTACCAACCGGATTTCCATGACGATTCGGAGGACACGCGGAACTGGCAAGAACATTCAAACAGTCGAGAGAAGCGATCTACCGGTAACAAGGAGCGTGGACAGCGCGGGTCGCCACCGGACTTGTACTCGAGTATTGAGGCTAACCGAACGGCCCACAGAAGGATGCCTGCAGGCCAATTGGACGGCGACAGACCAACTACTAGACGCCGACAACAGGAACATGTTCCGGAGCGCGACAATTCAAGGTTGCAGCATCTCCAAAATCGACTGCAATTGTTAAAACGCGTAGAGCACATCAAACGAACCCTGCTGGCCGACATTCAGGAACAAAAACAGCAGCCACAGCTTGAAGAACTGCAGTTATTACGTCGGCATAGAACTGACAACGAGAAGCAGAAACTGTCAGAGATGGGACAACGGTCGGGAACCAGGCAACAGCTGGAGCAACAAGATCCCGAGCAGCAGCCGTTTGACGATCAAGTGCCGTCGTCGCAGTTTCGCGCACGCAATGCGACGGCATACAGAGATCCGTTACCGGCGCCCAACCGACCGGCGACGGCCGACCAACAACCGCGCCGGAAACTATACGACAAGCCGACCGCTACCGACACAACGCTGGGGAGTAGCAGAAATCCCGGAGCAGCGAGACAAGCGGCCTCCAGCAGCCCACAAAAACGGCGGGTATCGTACCAACCGTCGTCGCACAGCGACAGCAGCAGTAGTGCCGGCGAATGCAACCGCCGAATTCCGGCACCGCCATTCGCGAACGCGACAACATCACCGCGGAGGAGAGCCGTGAGTGCGGAATACCCGATGCCTAGTAACGATTACCGACAAATGGAGAACCGCAAAGACAACGGCGTTAGGACGAGGCCGCGGTCCATGGACATGGCCCCTGCTACGGTTCCGGCGGACTCGCCCGGTTCCGATTACGACGCCGTCGCTCGTAACGGCAATCCGCGTTTGGTGTCGCAAACGTTGAATTTCACGTGCAACTGCGACGACCTTGACTAGACGTTACAGATATATAGCGGACACGGATTGAGGTATTCAGGACTACAACCGAACGGAAGGATGCGAAACCGTTTTAGGTTACCCGGGGTTTTTTTTTTTTTTATTATTATCCTATACGAGTGTCAGCGCTGTCTAATGGCGAACGATTTTGGAACCAGTAGGTAGGTACTTAATTAGCGCGTAATCAGCTCCTGAAGTGTCCGCTTAGACGGCACTAGGGCTCGTAAAGGAACGAGTCGCTTAATACCCCGCATTTCCCATAATTTTTTCCCGGCCACGTTTACAATGCTCGTTTCCAGTCCTGTACATCTTCTGTCCGCGGTACGCGCCCTTGCGTATGCACGTCTCTAAAATGTACTCGAGCAATGTATGTTACATAAAATAATACAATGCGAGTCATTTCACTTACTTGCGTGTACACGACAATATTTACGCGAATAAATTTGTTTTAAAATATTTGCACGATATTATTTTAATTTCCAATGACCTGTGAATACTGTAGGTTTATTATACATATTATACGTCACAGATCGTATATGGTATTCTATTTTTAATAATAATAAAAAATTATAATTTACGAATATTGTTTAATTGGTCCAGTTTATAATATTCCGTAAATTAAAAAATAAATAAAATATTTGTTTTGTACAAGTGACATTATTCATGTATATAATAGTGGAGCGAAAAATCCAAATTTTCCGAAGTTCGATAATCCGGATACTCGGACTTCGAAATCAAAAATCTAGATTTTCAGATTTTTGGATAATCCGGTTTTATAGCACATCTCTAATACATATTCAAAAATATAAGTCAGTATAAATGAATATTCTCTAATGAATCGTATTATTTTTCCATACAATTTATTTAGTAAAAAAATGTAATGTGAAAAATGTTTAATGCAGATACAATAATAACTTCTTTCGCAAGTATATTTATGTCGTATACAGGTTTATAGACAATGATTTGACACCTTAAGTAACTTGTGATCTATTAAATATTTATAATTTGTTTTAACAATAAGTGTGTGCTTCAGTTAAAATATACTTGAGCGGTTTTTTTTTCGACGTAGGTCGTAGGGGTTCTAAAATAAAAAACAATTTTAATTCGACTTTACTTTAAAAACAAAAAATAAAAATAGCCATTTTTAAAATATAGATATTCAGAAAATGTTTGGTGCATAAAACTTTTATTTAAATGCGATAATTTTTTGAGCTTGCTGAAAATGTGAATATTATTTTTGCTTAATTTATTACAATATTTAATCAGTAGTCCGAGCATACCAAAAACCGGACAAAGACTGAAAGGTGGCGTACGTGCAGAAATAATAATACATCATGGTCGCAGTGTCAAGGGCCACGGGCGGCCAACATGCTAAACCGACAAACGCAAATAAACGGGTAGAGAGGGTACGTCGTCGCCTGGGAGTCGAACTTCGTTGAAAACGGAATACCCGGGTCGCAATTTCGCGAACCATCTGTAAAACCGCTGTGTATTTAACGATTAGGTAGCGGCGAATGTATAATGCGATTAATATGACGTAAGACACTGTTTTTTGTAATCAGTTTTTTAGAACTTAAAAGAAATAAGTGCATCTAAAATGTTGCGTTATGTTTTGTCATATTTATTTCAAAGGGGGAGGGGGAGTGAAACTGCTGTCTACTTATGATTTTCGAAATTTTTGATTTCCGTTAACCCGTTAATAATATATTTTTAAATTTTGGGTAATAGGAGGGTTGTGGAGTATCATTTATGTGCCGGGGCTGAACCCTTAGACTAACAACGGGACACATGTGTCCCATAGAGGATAATTTGTGTGCCATTGGGTCTCTTTACTACTATATAAACATTGGCTGTTGTCACACTGGTTTAGAAGTTGAAAAATTAAATTTTGTTCATAATGCATGAACTATTTATATGACATTTATATAACCTATCTAACACGTTTATAAAAAAAAATATTCGAAAAGTTAAAAAAAAAAAAAAAATGGTAGTCTAAGGGTTAAATATTGCTTCCACTACTCGGCCCTTACCGATAAAACGACAAACTAATATTTTTTAAAAAAAATAGGTTACCAAAAACACAGGTGATACAAAAAATAAAGGTTATGTAAAATTTTGGAGCTGTTTTTTTTGTTTCTCGAATGGTTTAGAAAAACAATTTTAAAAAATGTAATAATTTCTGATGTAATAAGTGCCATACGATAAGTTGCTAACGCTATAAAAAATATTTATCCAATACAATGACGCCGAATGAAAACGTCGATAGTTTCGGTCGCATTGATTTTGTTATCGAGAATAATAATTGGTGCCTTCGCCAATAGGTTAGGTTTCATTTCGGTACAAGCACCGCCGCAGATTATCCGGCGAAAGAAAAATATATTTAAAAAGAAAATACCATTGTAAAACCAATACATTTCTCGCTCTGCTCAGAATCTAAAATAATAAAAATATAATTTGCGTAAGATGAAAAATTACCAATAAAAATAATTGACTTAGGCCCTCTTATCCTGAGACCACATTACGAAAATATAAATGTACGATGTCGATTTTTTGGCATTCTATACGTACACTTGGAAATAACAATAGGTAAGTTCTTGATTGATTTATTGTTGAGTACCTAGCTTTTTGGCACGTGATTTATTTTGTATAGGTATAAATAACATTTTTAATTTTCCTTCGTCATAGCATGTTTAATTAAATATCACTCAGAATTGTTTTTCGTTTGTAATTGTTTATCGTTTCTTAAAGATTTAAATAACTAAATCACCTTACATATCCCACTTAGCACTATTCCAACTTAGTCTCCTGTAATAGTAGCCCATAGTTCTAAGTATAGAAGATATAATTTAATAACCATATTTGTTATAAAAAAAAAACGCGCACTAAGTTTGTGAAGTTGGTACATCACAAACTTAGTAAACAAGAATTTCTGTCATGTTTGAAAGTTAAAATTCATCTTGATGGCCTTTGGAAGTTGTAAAATGTATATGTTGGTTTGTTAATACTTTAATAACTTTGTGTCTTCACCGAACCTAAGAAAATTATTAAACCAATGATAAATGAAAAAGAATTGTACAATTATAATAAATATATATATATTGAAAGTTTAACGTTGGCATAAAGTAATTAAAATTGGTTTCTATTCCATTTATTATGTTATAATATAGTAACGTAACCATAATTTTAAAATTATGTGAGTCAGCCAAACACACGAGAGGTGATCTGTAGGGAAAATTAACTGTTAAATCAAAAATCGTTCACATTGCTTGCAATTTACTTAATTAGTTTTATATTTTGATACCAATTTATAAAACATAAATTAATTTTACAAACTTACATACTTACAATTTCTCGAAACATTTTTGTATTGTCTTTATTATATGTTGATATATAAGCGTTTCGTTTAGATTTAAAGCCTATAGGAGAACTAAATGACAATAAATACGTGACGTTATCGTTATCACCAGCCTAAGCTTATAATTGGACGCACCTATGAGTGTTGCGGGATAAGCATAATTTGGATATTTTTAATTTTATATAATTATAAATACACAAATTTAATTATTATTTAATTATAAGATTATTTATATGTATACTATGGTCGAAGTACCTAACTAGTAGCTAAAGATGAATTGATATTTGTCTTTTAAAATATAATATATGTAAATTTATATACATACTAGCTATAAAATCTAATATGATTATATTTAATAAAAAGTCTACAAATCATACTATAGTTTCATCTTAATATGGCCCCTTTTCCCTCCCTCCAAAAAAATAAATGCTTGATACGGCCATAATTTCAGTCATGATACACAAGTATAAATTAGTGTATTAACGTTTGTTTTTTAACATTTATCTATATATTTTATAATAACCATTAATATGTCATAATATAGGTATTATAAATGTTTGAGATAGGGCTGTATACAGTTTTAAAATTATTATTATTGTAAAATCAGTAGTTTAAAAGAGGTGAGTGAAAGGGGATCCTTCTTATTCAGGGTAACATTATCAGGGTAAAACACGATTGTGTACTTTCGTTATCAATGATATATTTTTAAGCTACACGATTGCGTACGACGTAACCTGACTTTTACGCAATAAATTTTAAACGTTTTTGCCAATTTTTATACCGGTATATATACCACACGTTGAACCAGAAACAATTCATAAATACTTTCCGTTTTTCTATAAACGTTTATTGTTAACGATATCAACGCAACATCAAATACATCTTAATATGCTGGAAATTTCGTTATTTCAAATATATAGGTATTTTCTGCTCTCCAGTTTATCGTTAACGTCACACGTGTGTATTTTATCGACGTTTAGTAACATCAAAAATTCGATTAAACTTATAAAATGCGAAAAAAAGAATATTACTCCATTTGATTTTATTATTATATATATTATATGTGTAGTATACCACGTTGCATCGCAGCATCACGTTTGGTTGGGTGACACAGTGACACAGTGACAACGTATCCTCCGCGTTAGGTTGTTAAATCGTCGACTACCACACATACACACCCCTCACCGTTCGCCATTCTATTTAGAAGATTATTTCACTCTTACTGTTATATATAAAGTAATGGATTAACGCATAACAAAATAATACTATCACCAATACTTATAATTGTATTCCTCTCTGATTCTCCCCCTTTCATCTTTTAACGATCTATTTCTATATTTCCCAGCTGTTAAAATAGATGTTCAGATCAACATCTTGCCATGTGTCTTAATCTTAAGATATTTTAATAGCTCTTGAAGTAAAGACTCTTCTCCAATCAACTTCGAGTCGTGCGCCTCGATTTTCACATGTTTGAGCAACTTTTGAACTAAAGAGTAACCCATAAATCAACAAAAATAATTATATTTTTGTCCTAAAAATACCTTAACATTGAATTTTAGGGGATGGTATTAAGAAGAAATGGATTTCAATAGCTATACGTTTTTTCCAGACAACACAAAATATTTTGCAAAATCCCGCGTACAAATTACTCTAGTGGTTTTTGATTCTATTAATCTTATACAGACAGACAGACATCCGTTTTAAAACATTTTTTATTTATATACGATTATATAAGACTATCTATTTTTTTTTTAGTTAGGGTGGGAGGTTTAATTTATGTTTAGACCCTTGTCGCATAACATTTTTATATACAAGTGTGAGAAAAATCATTTTAAAAGTATTGTCTCCGTAATAGGTTTACTAAAATTTTGTTTTCTCAAGAATGCATATAATATTTTTTGTAAATATTTGTTTAAACCAAATTGTATTCGTGTCAAAATAGGGGCGATGTAATAAAAACGATTGATCAGTTAATTCCTAAACCCTATCTGGGCCCTTTCTTGTCATAATAGTTAATATTGTAGATTTAAGGGGTTGATTGATGGAATAACGCATTGATAGAAAGAAAATTTAAAAAAAGAAATAAAATAAAATTGCTTAAATAGGGTTTGTGTTTATATTGTGTTTCCAATGATTCATTAACAGACTGGATATTTTTTCATCAAACCTATTTATTTATTTTCCGGAATTTTAAAAATCGGAAATTTGACACGTTTTTCTGGATAACGACGAGTTATGACAACAAAATAATTTTAAAAAATGATCAAAACAGATCGATGATATAGAAATACATAAAGTGAAATACGTGCAAATACCATCTACTATCAATTAGTATCTAGATGACATTTTCGCCCTACATATTACAGTATTAAAATGCCCTGTACAGACGTAAAAATACTTCTATCACATTGTGATTAATATAACTATATAACTAATATAACTACATTATTGTATTGTGTTTATATTTACATAATCCAACGAATAAAAAATATATTAATTGATTATCACACATAAATAAATGCATTCGGGTAAAGAAATAAATAAAGAATGCTAACGAATGCATTGGTAATCAAATATGAATGCAAACACTATAGATTTTTTTATAAAGGAATTTCACACTATTTGATGTAGAAAATATTATTATGTTACATTAACATACAATTTGTATTATTATTATTTCACCTTTTACTAAAAAAAAAATATTAACATAATTTTCTTATTCAAATTTAAAATCTGTATTTTGACATAAATATTAATATTTCAATTCAAGTCCATATAATGTAAAATTCCAGATTAGTATTCCAGCATTTTAACAGGTTATTTAGGGGTATTCTAGGATGTCTATTCTAAGTTTTTATCTCGAAGACCTCGAGGGGGGGGAGTCCTCAAAATATTCGGACTTTTTTCAGTTTTTTGCTTACATCTCGTAAACTAAGCATATTGTACAATAGTGCAGTATAAAGTTGTAGAACATTAAATTTGCTACAGTTTGGTCGGTAACGTGAATTTTTAGATCCGATATTAACTAAGTTACAGTCGATTAAATTTAGACAGAGTTTCTCAAAATGCAAAAAACAAAGGTAATATAGACCCATAACTATTATAACCACGATTTTCATTTTAATTATGTTAATAATATGATCACCCTCAGTTATTAACAAAATACAAAAGGTAGTTTACATTTTTAGCTATGAACTGACTATAATTGTTCTGTATTGTATGATCATCGGTGTCACTAAGCCGTCTCAAGTAGTACTTTTGCTAAACAATACTTTTTTTGGGCTAGTATAAGAGTATCGTTATACCATGTTGTAGTTGATAATATCCTAAAGAATGATAAGAATAATATTATTGTAACCAAATTGTTATTTTTCACTTTGGCCAACATAGTAAATTGATATTTTTATGTTTTTTTTTATAATAAATGGTTTCCTAATTCGTTTATTGTTATCACACCGGTCAGACAGTGCAGTTTATACCACTTGCGTGAGTCAATACTAAGTCAGAAAATTCATGAAAATATGAAATGTAATTTCCATACAATTTAGACCAATGAAGGGTGAAAAATTAGACACACTTTTCAATATCCGATTTAAATTCTTTAGATAAATATACACATAGATTTTTTTGTCAAATTATCTAAGTTTTTAAGTATAGCAAGTCGATTTTTCAATTACAAATTGGCGTGTCCTAAATTAATAAAAATTTAAATCAGATTATACCTAGGCATTTTCAAAAAAATATCCTAATTTTGGAAAGCTTCAAAACTAAAAATTAAAATCCACTTCTTCTTCTTTAATTATAGTAATATGGGTATAAGCAAGAGATAACATTTTTAAATTCGATATATAAACAAAATGCAATTTTTTTTTTGCTACCCATGAATTATAACTGTAGGAATGCCTATATAAGAAGTACAATTGTACTGGTATAATGGTTGTTATCAAAGATATTTTCTGTTTCACAAATGAATATGAGTTATTAAAATATATAAAACTACTAAATCAATAGCTTATAACGAGTGGTTTAGTCTAAAGAGCCTGTTTTAGAATTTTTTAGGCCCGGGACAAAAAGAAAAAGTTGGCCTGTTTTTATGAATTGTAAATTAAATTATAATTAGTAAATATAATAACCAGTCAATATTTAATAGCAAATAAAACAATATTGGAATGCAGATACATTTTTACAAAATCTTCATAATTTAAAAACAATTTTTCTTAAAATTAAATTAAACAGTAGGTATTCGAATGTAAGTATTACAAAATCTTCAGAATTCTTAAAACATTTTTTTCTTGCATTTTTTTTTTTTACAAATGCATCAATAACTTCATTGAAATTAATGCATCCAGTGATATGTCATTTTCAATAGATAAGATTCCTAGGACATCCAACATTTCTTGACCCAGAGATGATCTTAAACTGTTTTTAATTCTTTTAAGAACTGAAAAGGATCTTTCACCAGTACAATTATTTACTGGCATCGTCATAAATATATGCAAACATGTTTCTACATTTTGAAACGTATGAGACATTTGCATATTTTTAATAGATTTCTTTTGGTCAGATGGAGTAATTATTGTATTTTTATCATTTGTAGATATAATTAGACTCTGGAATTGAATAAATTCCTCTGCGAAGTATTCGGCATCAAAATCTAATTCATTTTCATACAATGACATTAACGTTTTAATTTTCATCATAATTTCATTTCTTCATAGATTTTCTTTAAATAAAAATCCAAATCTTGTTTCTACTTTGATATAAGCTTCTTTTCGCTTTTGAATCTCTGCTAATAAAGTATCACAAACAACATAATGAGTATCAGTTATGAAATATTGTTGTCTTTCTTTAGAATTGGTATCGTTGCGTTTGTAATCTTGTGTACCTAATAATGTATAGGATTCATTTTCAGAAATTTTAAAATTTTCTTATTATATAATGGTACAATTGTCGATAAATTTATTGTTGAGCTTTGAATATTTTTCGAAGTTAAATTTATTCGTTGTAGTATAGAGTCCCAAGTAACAATCATAATCGCAATTTCTTTCGTTTTCAATTTATTTAAAATATGTTTTGCATCAATACGAGTGTTTGTATTTTCATTCGTATCATTAGATATTTCAAAAAGTATAGTGATAATTTCAGAATAGCTGATTCTCAAGGCTTTAGTAGCATTAGCATTTGCTGATCAACAAGTTTGAAATTATGATTTTAAAGAAAACATTCCGGTTTTTTTAATCTTTTATTTAATCGATCCCAACGATGGGTTGATAAAAAAAATTATATAAAGATTGTATAATATTAAAATATTTGATCACATTATTACAACATTAAACAGCATGGACGTCCGTTAAATTTAAGGAATGTGTAGCACAAGGTAAAAACTCGGCACATGGAGCTAATTCTTTTATTCGCACTTATAATCCCGTATCTTTTCCAGCTATATTATTTGCATTATCGTGACTGACCGACGCAATTTTCAATATTTAAACCCAATTGTTTAATTTTTTCAATAACAGTTGATGTTAAATTTTCCGCTGTATGACTATAAATATCAATGGCTTGGCCATCAGAATTTATATAGCGTAAAACTATAGCTAACCGATCTGCATGCGTCACATCTGGCGTTGAATCAATTATTATTCCAAAATACTTTGCTGTTTTTACCTCTTAATTAAGTAATTTTATTTAAAATTTTATCTACCAATAGTAATATAAGTTCTCGAGTTATGTGAAATATAATTTGTTGTCCCACTACCTTCATTCTCGTAATTATTTAAATGTTCCTTGATGAACGGGTCAAATTTCGCTAATAATTCCATAATGCCTAAAAAATGTCTGAGGATTATCTAGAATTTCATTGTTCCCAAAAAAAGCAAAACCTGTTTGGGTAAAAATATTTCTCCTATACTGGACTTCATTTTTATACTCTTTTAACTAATTGGTAATCTGAACGTTTTAATTGAATAGATCAATTGGAATAATCACAAACTGCATTCCTACGAATAGTTGAATTTTCATATTCATTAAGCCGTTCAGTTACATGATGCCAATCACTAAATCCTTGTTTTGTTAGACAATTATTTGAAGTTTTAGCATATAATTTACAAATATAGCAGAATAAACATACTTTTGAGAGAGAATATATTAACCAGGTTTTCGGAATTATAACACCATTATTTTTAGTAGTATACAAATTGTGTAATTTCAATTTTTGGTGAACACCTCTGATCAATTTTTTGGACCCATCTATAGCTTGTATATTTTGATTTGGGGAATGAACAGTAAAAAAAGTTTGAAAACGGTCAGAAATTGATAATGAAAATAAAACAATGTCATCAATGTAATTTTCGAAATTATTTTGTTGTTCATTATTAGTAGTATTTAATTGCGTATCGGTTGGATTATTACTCTGAGATACAAGTTTATTTTCATATAAAATTAACTTAACTTAAACTTAACTTTCGAAAACAAAATACTAAGAATCATCTGTGGCCTACTATACGACAACAACCTGAGATGCTGACACAAAAGAATAAACAAAGAGACTCGAGAATTGACAGGAGTACCATGGATAACCAACTTTGTAAAAACACAAAGAATAAAATGGTTTGGGCACGTGATGAGAAGGTCTAATTCAGAGTACCTTAAAGCGGCGGTCGAATGGAAATCCACAGGGAAAAAACCAAGAGGACGTCCAAAGAAGCGATGGATAGATGGAATAAACCAGGACTTAGAGAAACTAGGGATACCAAATTGGGAAAAAAAGTACAGAACCGAAAAGAGTGGAAGGAGATGTCGGTGGCGGCAAAAACTCTTGAGGAGTTGTGATGTCAAGGAAGAAGAAGAAGAAGAAACTTAAGATACGATTTGTAGATTCTCCATTTTTTGTTGTATCGATTAATTCAACATGGCTGATAAGATTTTCTGAACTTGTATTTTGAGAATTTTCTGTAAAAATATGAAAACCAAATCTTTAATTTTATAAAAACTATAGGTATGGCATATATGATTATTAATAATATGTATTTATATATATATATATATGTATAATATCAAAGTTGGTTATGAAATATTTAAAGCTACTTACTTTCTGAATTTTCAACGGCTAACGGTGTTTTTGTTGAAGATGGTTCAGTTATTGTGAAAACAAATTTATTTAAATTACTACGACATTTTTTCAATTCTTTTTCCTTTAATTATTTTAATTTTCATTTAGCTGAGGCAATGAGATATTTTTTAGGTAATACTTTTAGAAAAATACAACAACGTTCTAATAATAATAAAATAAATTTCAAAAATATGAAATCGTTTTATTCGTATTCGTACAACGTACACTGTTACACTGTTTTACGTATACTGTAAGATTACAGCAATATCTACTAACTTCTATATCAATATAACACACGTGTAACACATTTGTTGTTATTACAGCTCACAATAACGATAATTCCGAAAATAAGTTATTTTTACCATTTAGTTTTTTTTTTTATCGCATATGGCATGGTATTGGTGTACAACCATTTAGTTGAATACACGGTATAGCGTATCCGGTATGCACTACATAACATTTATTAAAATTATGCTCGATCAATTTTATTTACCTTATCGTTGTATCTACAAATAATAGTCCATTTAATACGAATATTTCTTATCTCATACCAATATATTTTGTATGAAACTGAAAAAAATAATTTATATTTTTACAAGTATTTTCGACTGTGTAAACTTTTTTGGTATTCTTCAATTTTTAAGGATTAATTAAAATTAAAAGAATAATTAAATCTAGTTGGTGAGCCCCTAATTCGCATGGGCCCTGGAAAAATACCCATAATGTCCTTGCATAAATAGGGCCCTGACCTTTAGATTAATCTATTTCTATACCGACTGCACAAATTCATAGAATTATTTCTCTTATATTTTTAATAACTAGGGCTCGGATTAAAATACACTCTAAATTCACATAACGTGCTTCAAAATGCCAAAATAGCCATTAAAAATATTTAACGAAGTAAAAATATTACATATAGGCTGTGTAAAAGTCCTTTATCATTTTTACTTTTTTGATCATTTTTTATGGGCTTTATCTAAAGATTTTTAAGAGGACTTTTTATTTACTTTAAATACATTTAAATTATGGACCCTAGTTATAACTAATGATATATTAACAAATTATTTGATGTAAGTTAGTTTAATTTTAGTTTAGATTTGAATATTTTTCTATTTAGTATACGAAATACAATCGTACAATAATAATTAAATTAGGTATTTCTTTAAAATATGACAAAATTTCACTAATTTTATCGACACCGTTCACTATATCTCAATACCAAATATGTTAAAAATAAGTTTCTTTATGTGAAAAAATAAAATAATAACATCAATATATTTTATCAAAAGTTGTCCACCGATCTTAGTAATAATGATTATAGTTATCGTGATTATATAATACCTAATTACTTGTGATTGCCTAGAAATCTGGGATTGCAGTTTCCTTGTTGACGACGGTATTTATACAACTTATATTTTTTTTTTTTAATATAATATAATGTACATACATGCAAAAAGTTACTGTTTTAAATTTGGTTACTAAGACAACAATCATGATGAAGCATCATAGAATTTTTGTTTTGATGAAAAAAAAATCATTAATAAATACGTTTCACATTGTTCAAACAGGCAGCTTAAAGTTTTAAATGTATGCAATTTTTTTGTTACACTTATTTTTGGGTGTAAAACCATTAACCACTATACATTTTTTACCACACATAAAGGTTGACCTTTTCAAATGGCAAGCTATATTATGGTAAAATTACCATAAATAAATCGAGTAAGTATTAGTAAAAATACATTTTGGCGTTGAAATATTTAATTTCTATCAACGAGATATTCGATATCAGTAATAATTATTATATTTGGAGGTTATAATACTGTATAGTCTGTATTATATTATAATATTTTTATTGTTTTTTACCATGATGGTTCATAACTATTTTTTATTTGATAAAAAATAAAACTATATAGAGACTTGTGCATGAATGCTCGAATTCGATCATTTTATTGCATCCAAGAAGTAAAGAAGTCAACAATTTACTTCTAATATATTTAAAAGTTTATATCTATATCAAAATTACGATAAAAAATAAAAATAGAGAATCTCTATTTTTGATTCATCCCTTACTTACATATTTTATGTTCGAAGTTATACTTTTAGTTTATTCGCTACCTTTATAGCTACTGTATTGATAGCAATATTTAATTTTGACCTGTGTTGAAATGGTGTGAAGTGATATATCAAACAAACATGAACTGTCTAAAATAACAATAAGTCAAAACATTTTACATAAATTTCATTATTTTAGATTGAACGTCATCGGTAGTAGGTATGCCTATGGGAATAAATGATGTATCGTACATAATAATATGAAATTCAAAAATCACAAAATAATCTTCAAACCCCAAAGTTGGTCGTATGAGTGAGGATATATTTTGAGTTTTTTTTTATATAGTATATTCATATGTATCTACCTAGTATATAATAATATTTTAAAGATACCGATAGATCATTTTATGGAAAAAACAATGTTGAACAATGTATATTGAAAACGTAATTTAAACAAAAAAACTAAATTTGATATACCTTCTGATAGCCAGGTACCCCAGATAAAACTTTCACCGG